CTTTGTGGGGATTGAGGGAATCAGAGGAAACAGTTGCATCTGTTAAAAAAAAAAAAATTAAAAAAATTCCATAATATTAGGATTAAGATAACACTTTTGACACCTCAAACTCGATAGCTACTAATCGACGAAGTAGGGCAGGTATCGAAATACAAAAATATCGGACAAAATAATAATATTCAAATTTTATTATTTTGCTAAAGCCGAGTTCAATGAATTTTCTATCTCAAGCAACTTCGAAAACAAACTGTCCACGGAGTAGCGCGTACTCAATTAGGTATGGGCAGAATTAACAGCAAAATACAGTCGAACAGGTATACGCTAGAACGAACCATTATTTGCAGGTCACGTGGGGTTAGGGGAAAGGGATTGGATAAAAAATCAGTTTTTCATAGGATTCAAGCTGTCACTAACTTGTTAATTCGCTAAATTTGCAAAATTTGAAGTGGAAAAAGATCAGTTTAAGTAGCATCTATGAAGAAACAAATTTTAAATCGATTTTATCAAAACAGCTTTTAAGCTTTGGTGTGTATGGGGCAGTAGACGTGGATAGGGGAAGTAACCCATAAAAATCCAAAGGTGAATGTTTAAAAAGACTTTAGGTTTACTTACTTGTCATATTGCCAATGTACAGCCGGTAGTTAGCCGTCTCTTTCCCAATCCCAAACCATTCATACTCAGCGTGAACAGTTTGGCGCGTAGTTACCCCCAGATCTATTCGAAGGATATTCTTTGTTTTGTTTTGTGTCAGACGGTTTACCTTGTCCAGTCCAAGCCAAAATTCACCGACCAGGTTACCGAAGCCATGTTTGTAGTCATTCCAGGTGCGATTAAAATCAACAGAGCCATCCATTCTCTTCTGAAAGACTGTCCATCCCCCACCAGAAGTGGTTTGATCACAATATACACTAAAGGCGCCTAAGCCATCTGGGTCGATTGTGTAAACACCGCTGATCCTTTGACCGGAATGGTAGAGCTCAACACAGTTCTTAGCTGTTGATGAAATACAAGGGGAATATATGCGGAATAACAGTTAGTGTACTCTTGAAAATAACAATAAAAATTGAAATGAATAAATGTTAATAAAGTTAGTAACACACATGAACGAAGAGGAA